ATGAAGGTTGTAAATGTGGGCATTGGTCACAAAGTTACTTTTTTATTACCTTCATAACTGCGAATGGTCACTGTCCGAGGCAGTCGCTAAGCAAGGACTACTTGTATAGTGCAGTATATGTGAAGTTAGTTGTTCAGTATATTGGATAGAAAAGATTTATAGTCTGGAATTAAGGACATTTTATGGATATTAGACTGATTTTCTTGGTGAGAAAAGGTTGAGTAGAAATACACTGCATTTATTGAAAACATTTTCACTTTGAACACTTGATGAATGCTTACACTAACAAGACAGATTTGCTTGTAATCCTTGGAAATTTAGAAACCAGCAACAAGAAGATACATCTCCTTCCAATATAAGTGGACAATACATTTGCCCAATTTTATTCATGCCTGAATGTCAAGCACAGGAAATTCAGAATGTAACAGGTGCCATCTCTTGTTACCTCCATCCTGAACTTAATAACCCTAGGTTTCTATTAGTGTGTACCTCTGCTATCCTTTTACTTGCCTAGCCCAAATGTTATCTTCCAATTTCACCAGGTGATAAGTTCCTAAACTATTCTTCTGCAACTAGTAGAACCATTTGCAAAGAGGGTTAGCTCAGACAAGCAGATTGGAGCCTTTTTTTTTTTTTGGCAGAGTAAATCTCTATCTGAAAGCATTACAAGTCTGTAGGAGCATATTAGCTATGACTGGAAAATCCTGCCCAGAACTGGAGCTTCCAAAATTCTTCATTTGCTTGTAGAAAAGAAACAAAAGAAGCTGAAGGAGCGCTAGAGATGTGAAGTAAAAATCGAGGGGATGGCTTGCAGACTGTTGTGAATGAATAGGAGAAAACTATATTCCCAGCGGAGTAATGCACTTTCTGCAGTCATTCATTTTTGATGGAAGAGCTATCTGCTCAAGAAGTTGGCAGGAAAATAATTCTGTGTTATATGAGTTTCTAGCTAACTATTACATTTTACAATTCATGCTTGCCAGGTTTATGATTCAATGAACAGTTTCCCACATAGTTAGTTAGAAATGTCTGCATCAGGGAATGCTATATGAAGCTCTCAAGTTTTTTTTCCATGATTGGCTTCAGGACTTGCTCTGATTCAAATGAATAGTCTTGAGTCTTCACAGACGCTTACCTTTGTGGGCAAGTGGATGAGTAGATGGGATAGTTATGGTTATGGCCAGCAGCACTTCTCTTGACAGTACCCGTGTCTGTTCCATTCATGCACAGATTTCACCATGGGAAGTTAGAACCGTTTCTCTGAAAAGGAAATCTGTTGTGTGATGCATCCAACAGACAGCCATTCTGCTCACATCTACAGCATACAAGCAAATGGAACAGTGATGATCAAGAAACCTCTCATGGTTTTTTCTTTAATTGATTTTAGGAATAATCACATAGTGATTCCATGTTTTAGTACAATGCAGTTGGATGGTTACTTTTGTTAGACTTTTGTTTTGAACTGAAGACTGGGTTACAGAGTGCTTGGAAAGAAGTAAATGAAACAGTTAAAATACATATGATTTTCAAAACACTTAACACTCCCATCTGCTCAGATTCGCTATCTCTTCTTTCTTGCGTACAGATTTTATCCACTATCTTTAACCATGGCTATAAGTTATTCTGAGCATTGACTTTAATATGACCTTGATTAATACTATACCACAATTCTCTTATAAGGAGATTTTGAAAATGTATCCCTCCTAAAGCTGTTGATTCAAATTCTGGTTACTATTAATCATGAAAGTATTCTTTGCATCACATAGCCCTGAGATGAAAGACATACCTTGAATATACAGTAAATGCCTTTTTTCAGCATGCTATTTTATACGTGAATGGAAGGAAATCAGTGACATCTCTTTCTAGATGGCTTCATTTCCCACATGCTGGTTTTGATTCCAAAAATCTGATATTCAGAAAGGGTTATGCCTTTAATTTTTTGTTTTCTTAAGAAGCACGCACATATACACATCCTGGAAATAATTTGAAAACAGTTATATACATCTTGTGGGAAATAGAAAGAAGGTGGAGTTGCCTTCATGATAGTATAAATATTAACCAGTAAGTGTTTCACATAGCCACATTTTGATGCAAACTGACATAACTCATTTCACAACCTAGTTCACATGCTTTGATGCTAAGATAAAATCTTGATTCATACAACCTGCATTCTGCCAAATTATTTGCATGGAAATTTTGCATGAACATTTTCACATAATAATAAAGATAGCATAATTCTAAGCTAAGAGAAACAAACAGAAATAGGTATTAAAAGTTGTGTAATTTGTGGTTCATTTCTTTAATGAAGTAATAGAGCATTCTGTTTCCTTCTTCATATGGTTATCCATATTTGGAATGTATAGTGTTGATTTTAGGTAAATATGAATAAATGTATTAATATGCAAGATTTTTCATTGACATAGAAAACAGGATCCATTAAAAACAGTACAGTATATCTACAGAAGTTAATCAGACATTGAAAATATTGTACGGAAGAAAATACAATGTATGAACCAGCATACGATGCTGGGAATAATGTCATAATTTATCAATATGGAATTAGGATAAAAACAAGGAAAGTAAGCTTTTAGAAATGCTTATCCATTGGGGGTAAGAAAGCAAATTTTACTGTAGGAGTTAGCTCAAGTTTATTGCCTTTCTAAAGCTTTCATGAACATCATTGTGAAATTGTTTGCTCAGTAGGAGTATATTGAAAGCTGCAAAGTAGGTGGATGTAGAGTTCATTGTTCAATCCTATGTAGATTTATTTAGAAGCAAGATCTGCGTGAGTTCAGTGAGCTTTACTCCCAAATTAAAATTATGCCTCAGTTCCACAAGCAACTACTTGTAGGTGTTTACGATGGGTTAAGCCAGTGAAGTGCCATGATAATTTGTGGGTTTCTATGGCATTGAGAATGATTTTAGAATATTGCTCTAGCAGACCAATAGGGGACAGCCCCATTGTGTCAGCAACAGCTACCAACTCAACATTTGGAATCCTGTCACAGAACAGAATGGGCAGGATCTGTGACTTCAGCGGATACAGTCATTTGTGATTCCTCAGCCTTGAAGAGATTTGTACTTCAACAAGTTTAACAGCCATCCCCAGTTCCTAAGATACCTTGGAATGATAGTTTTGTGAAAGAATTGGGGGTCTTCTTCCTCATTTTACAGATAAGGTGAATCTTGCTTCTCCTTATAAGCAGAAATAAGCTGCTTACGAATGATAGCTGCTTGCTCTGTATTGTCATCTCAGATACATACATCCATACTGTGACAGCAAAACAGAAATGACATTGCTAGCAGTCAAGTTGTATTTCAGAAGGGAACAATTTGGAATGGAAAAGGAACTGGTGGGGGTTTCCTCCTTTCTCAATTTTAGTATCCCTACATTCACTTTAAGACCCACATTTGCAAGGATAAACATATTTTTTTTTCTGAGAACAGAGAAATGCTACTGCTGGACTGTTTTCAGGAAGGAAACGATTAAGCACCCTCTTCTATTTTCCCAGAATAGATTTTAAAGACAGAAAAGAAAAAAGAAGCTGTTATTATATTGCTGTGTATACAGCATTTCTATCATTTGGCGGAAGGATAGGTCTAAAGTTTGTTTTCATTATGAAACCGGATACATAAGGATAAATGATTAACCATTTGAATTTTGAACAGTTCTATCTTACTGACGTTTTTTCCAATTTCCTTATTTCACTTAATGTCTCTTTCTCCTCATGGTCTTCTCTTATTATGTAGCTTACTGAAACACCTAACTTTCTAGGTTGTAGTTACCAGGTATTTAACTACCAAGCAATGTTGGGAAGAAAAAGAGACATAAATTGACAGAGAATCAGGATTCCTTATCTCATTCTACAAAGAACATACATTTGTTGCATACTTTTATTAAAAATTAATAGATTTTTTAAATGTAGAAAGCACGTTGGCTTTTTTAAAGAAGCAAAGAGCTCAGATTTCTAAGGAATAATAATGCATTTCTCATGTTTATAAAATTAACAGTTCTGAAAAATGTGGGCCTGGGAAAAATATTAGAAGTCAGTTTTCACATTACAGTTGGTAGACCACAATTTGTCTATTCACTACATTGCTACATTGCCACTGCATTGACTCACTGCAGTTTACAATTTAAAATTACAATAGTCATGAAAGAACAATACAAAGACAAAGACAAAATTTAAAATGATTACTGAATTATAAAATTTGATATCAGTGTTGTTATTAGGCCCTCTGCAGCCCTCAAAGGTCCTTCTGAGCAATTCAAGGAGAAGAGGATTCATCTGGATCTCTGAGAGGGAAGCGTTCCAGAGGGCTGGGGCAACACCTGAAAAGCACTCATTTTGCCCCCTTTCCTGACTCTTAATCGGGGGAGAAACCTTCTACCTTCTTCTTAGATGTGTGTACTAAATGAGTAGTTTCTATCTGAAACCAAAAACATAACAGCTTCAGTTATAGTTGCTGTATAAAAGAACAGGCACAATGGAAGGCAGTCTTCTTGAACGTGGTTCCTTGCAGATGTCTTGGACTCTCTCTCCTCTAATCTTTGGACAGCATGCCCACAGAGGAGCTGATATAAAACAGTTCCCATCCACAATAGCAAGATGATTTCTAGGACAATAAAACTCAAAACTGTAATATCATGACCTGTGCTCATAAGTTTAGTCTGATAGCCTCAATAACATTCATTCTCTTTCTCTTTTAGCAGAATACACAATTTATCCCATGCATTAATTAACACAGGAGGTGGTAGTGTAGTGAATCTGCACAGCTCTGTCTTTTTTTTTAATTACAGGATGGTTTTGAAGCATTTGGCCTTTCTTGTTTCTGATGCTGTACATAAATTAATTTAATTTAAATTAATATTAAATTAATTAAATATTAATTAAATGAAGAAATAACAAAAGCAGTGAATCATTTTTAGATGTCTCTTTATATAGATACTAGTCACCTATTTAGTGACTAATGGCTAATGATTACTCTTTTACTTACAGGAAAGATTTCAAGTCAAGAATCCCCCTCATACATATATACAGAAATTAAAAGGCTATCTTGATCCAGCTGTAACTAGGAAGGTAAGAGATGGTCTTTTGTCTCTTTCTCTCACTTAAGGACAGTCATTTTTGCCAAATCAAGCAGAAAGGCTTTCTGTTTGCCAGAAATGAGGAGGAAAAGAAAGCTATTACATGGTTTGAATGCTACTGATCTTTTCCAGACACCTTCCTGCTCAATATATATTAAAACAAAACATACACTACAATAAAACATCCATAGTACATGAGTGTCAAATATTCAGAAGTAAACATCAACAACATCAATAATTACAGTACCAATGACAATATAGTAGTAACAATTTATGGTATACAGCAAGGACAAATGGCTAGTGGCAAGCAATGATTCCCCCAAAACCCTCCAGTAAAGTTTGGTCCCTCCCTTCTGGAAGGCTGGGTTCAGGAGGAAGCTTTTGAGGGGAGAAATCCCATGATACACAAACAGTATTTTCTGCCTCATGGAACTGGGACCCCACCAGCCGTTTCTCCCAGGGTATCTTGAAGGACACCAGATTTGTTTCATGATAGAAAGAAGAAAGATAAATCAATAAAGATTAGGCTATACAATTATCATTCTTGTTAATTTAGACATCAGACAAGAATTCTTTTTTTTCCCCTTTCTTGTAAATTCTAGAAATTTAGGAGAAGAGTTCAAGAATCTACACAAGTTTTACGGGAACTAGAAATTTCTCTAAGGACTAATCACATTGGGTAAGTTTTTAGAAAGTATTGATACTTGGGGAAATGATTTGGGGTGTAACCACTGCAAATCTAATCTATTGTCACTTTATTATTGCATTGCATGAGAATCCTGTGATTGACTTCAAAGTACCAATAGAGCTCCTTTGAGTTCAACTTGAAAAGTGACTTCTATTGAATAGAATAGGTCACCCCCAAGGCACTGTGGCTTAGGGATGTACCTTAGTTTTTACAGAAGCATTGTGCTTCTCAGGGAAGGAAAATTAAGCAATTTCAACAAATGCAGAGTTACTTCAAAACAACCATCCCCTCAGTAGATCTCAGAAACTGCTTTTGTTAAAAAGTTCTGGTTCTGTCCCCTTCCTCCCCCTCCCCCTTTTGCAGTGAAGTGTAATTGACCATGAAATACCAATGCTAGGCCAACATTTCTAAGAGATAATTGGCAGTAAGTGAAGATTTAGGTAGTATTTTGGAGATAAGAAGCCAGTGAAATCTGTAAGCAATTGCAGCAGTTTTGCCATCAATTAAACTCCAGATTTCAGCAGTATTTGCTAAGCCCAAATACTTTACAGAAGTCAATCTTTCTCCTTTCCTTTTATTTTTTTTTCCAAACTGCTGACTCTTTGAAAATGCCAGGCATTGTGATGTGATGGCAGTTGTTAGCTGTGACTTCTTATTAGAGATTATACCTGCCAGATTCATTAGGATCTGGACATCATGCATGTCTGTTAAGGAAGAGGTTTAAATGTAACTGTTAGCTGAGCAAAGTAACTGTATGTTACTTAAAGTGCTTTTGCACATAACTTACTGGAGAGAAGAAGTAGTGACTTCCTACACATAGTGAAATTTCTCTCACGTTTTAAGTATCCCATGAAGTTCTTCATCATTTCCTTTAAAAACAAGATAGAAGAGCATTCCATTCTTTTTGTTTTTGCATTTAATTTATACTGTCCCAGCAGTGAATGGTGAGCAAGACAGGATGATGACGAGATCAGCTGCACAGCACTTTGCATATGTTTCAGGTTCTAGATCTTCAGTTGGTATTGCATAACCACTTGCATGCCAGTACATGAGAGATGGTTATAGTCATAAAGAGTTCTAAATAGCATTAACCCTTTCTTTAATGATGGGCTTTGTAGTTTACTGTCAGTAGTCTAAGGTATGTGTTTCCATCAAGACTGATGCCGTTATCCGGTTGCTATATGTAAGGTTTCCTGTTCAAGGCAGGTGAGCTGTTACAGGGAAGATGGCCTTATTGGTAATCCAAATACTATTTGGAGATCTTATGAATATATTTAGTTATGTCAGTGTAGTGAGCCATGGAGATGACTTTGAGAAACTGTTCAGAAACTGTTACAAACAACCAAAATGTACAAAAACATGTTCTGAGCCAAGGGTAAAGGGAAAGTAATAGGAAGATACTCAGTTTGGCTCCTCCCTCAAAAGGCTGACAATTAGGTTGAAAGCCAGTTAGCATTATTCAGCTGGAATCCAAATAGAATATTCAGAATTTGATTCTATTGAATAGTTGAATAATAGAACAGACTATAATGAGGTATATTTGCAATAATTTGGGTCCCATTCCCCCTGCAAAAACGCTCCTGGAAATTCAAAATCCATATGGTTTTATTTTGGCATAGTTCAATTGATTGGGTACATTACTTGATTTGTTTTGTTCCATCTGCATGTGCTGCTTTGGTGCATGAAAAATTTTAAAAAATTAAATTATACTTGGTTCCCTCTCCGGTAGCTAAATCATCATCATCATCATCATCATCATCATCATCATCTGGATAGTGGACATTGCAATACCCAGAGACAGCAGAATAGAAGAGAAAGAACTG